AGCACAGGCAAAGCATTGAGCCATGTGTCTTCTGGCACTAGAGTGTGTTTCCCTCAGCTGTGGGTGAAGAGAAGGAGATACCACTTTGGGCAGCTTCATTGCCAGGAAAATCAGATTTTAGCATCTCAAAGGGACTAGAGGAAACTCAAAAGCTGGCTGAAGAGTGCTTCAGCAAGCACCTGCTAGTGGCAGCACCTTCCTGCTATGGTCACTTGAGCTTGTGCTCTGCTAGAGGAGCCCCAGGAAGGCAGCTCAAGCTAAGAGAGGTCTGGCTATGAACCCCCTGCCACACTCGGCTGATTGAAGTGTTTTTCTCAACACCTACACAGCAAGCACCATAAGAGGGTTCACAACATGCTTGAGAGGATACAACTCTTTTTTAAAAAACAAGAAAAAAGAGTGGCACAGAGGAAATAACAGAGATGAAAATTGAATCATACTGAGCCATAACACTAAGAGTCTGGTAGCTGAGGACAATATTTTAGACTAGGGAATGTGGGATTGCTATTAAGCTCCTGTGTACTTTGCCACATTTGCATAATCAACCAATGGCAATTATGATTTCATCTTGAATAGGTGCTATTTTAATTGTGACTTTGCCTTTCCTGCCCAGCAGTAATTGGTGCTGTTACAAAGGAACAGCCGGGCAGGAAAGCCGCTGCTGACTCCGGCTTTCCTTCCTCCAGCCAGGTCACATCCCCCTCAGCATCTACCCCCTTTCCCTCCCTGTAGCTGGACGTTTTGGGGCTTTATGCCACACAAAAAGAAAAGACACAGCATTAAAATAATTCCCTACTCTAAGGGCACACAGAGCAAGGAAGCACATTCACGCTCCAAGAAACAGCTGTGCTCAAAGAAAGGGTCTTGAGGCATTTCCCAACCATGGGCCATACTCTGAACACAGAAGATCACATCCATTCTAATCAGAAAAGAAATCCAAGATTAGAGATATCAGTCTATGAGAAATCCAGATAATTTTTTTCTGTCCAATTTTGGAACTGATTAAACACCAGATCAAATAAAATGGGCATCGTACTTCCTGGGACCCCTTGAATAGGGGCATTGCTGTGCAGTGGATCACTGAAATCCAAGATTATCCTGGAGCTGCAGTGAATTAATGCAGGGCTGTTGCCAAGACGTTTACATCTCCATTGGATTTTGCACTTCTAGCTGAAAAGCAAAGAAAGGGACAATCCTAAAAGCTCAAAGAGGGGCCTGTTAAGACTAAGATCACGCTTCAGAGAAGTTTCTCTTAGATGCACATTTGTGCATAGAATTGCCTTGATTTCACAGAAGACCCTTTAGGCTGCAGAAAAGCCAAAGCATATAAGTAAGGCAATATTTGCAAGGTGATAACTTGCAAACATTTCTTTTTAAGTAGCACAGTGGGCAGGAGATTACAAATGATTGCACTGCTGCCACTTACCGCACGCCAATAAGCCCTTCGCTACACCCAGAAACCTGGTCTTTCTCTTAGATCTGAACACACAGCAAAGCCTAGACACATGTTTATCCTGGCACAAACATTCCCAGAATGCTGAAGCTTACAGATTTCAAAATTAAACCTAAATTTTTTTCTTGTTCCTGTGGAGCTGCAGCACTGGAAAAGCAGCTGGGCATTAAACTCTAACACATTGAAGAAAATAACCTTTAAAATATAATGAACTGCAAGAGGCTCTTGACTGTTCAGAGAGATATATGCTGGATACATCTGCCCATTTGCTGCAGTGTCGTTGGCATCTGCTTATCACCAGGTTACCTGCCCTGCCGCATCCCCTCTGTGTTCCAGTTATTTGCAGCCTCTGGAGGGACCTGGGTCCTGCTGGGTCTCTGCTGTTTTGGGGATGAAGAACCTTTCTTGTGGCCTGTCCTTGACTGCAGAAGCAAAACATCCTAACGCCAGGAGCCCACTCACCTTCCCGCTGAACCTGCAGCACAGCTCCCACAGCCCAAGGAGAAGCCATAACTCCTGGCCCACAGACTCGTCTAATTATAGTCATCTCAAGAGTGATCAGGAGGAACCTGCTCCTCCCGAGCTGGCTGTGGAGCCAAGCTGGGCAGCAGCTGCCTCCTCATCCCAGCCCATGCCAATGGGCAATCTTGTTATCTGCCCCTGGGATGCGAGAGGTCTCCTCAGGGCCAGGGGGTGGGCATGACCTTTGTGGCTGTGGTTTTCCACCTGAATATGCTTCCAACCATCTCCCCCAGCCTTAAGCTTCACATAGACCTGACCCCTTCTCTGCCTCTTCTCCTCCATCTCCTCTGGTGTAGCTCCTTTTCCTTGACTGGCCATTGCTGGACCTTCTCCTCTGCAAGCCCTTTTCTCCTCTGAACCTCAGCAAACAGGCCCAGCCCATGCTTTCTGCTAGTGAAGTTTTCAGACTGCATAGCGCTTCTGAGACTGCCCAAGCAAACACAGTATCTGACCAGACCCAATGCACTGCTCCAAATGTGCTTCCTGCCCTCCAGGCAGCAGAGCCGGCCCCTTGTCTTGGATTTGGGATCTGGAGCCCATCTCTGCTCAAGTCTGCAGGGAAGCACCCACTGGCCAGACCAGACAGCTCTGTTAGGGCTGTGCAGATCGCACTGCGCTGCTGCCCTCTCCTGGCTTTCCAGCAGCTGCCGAGCTCAAAAGAATTTAAGGTGAAGATGATAAATCCCTTTTTGAGGCTACAAAGGTGGGAATCCTTTCCAGAACCCAGCATTCCTCCCATTGCAAAGCCTGGCTCTGAAGACGAAGAGATTTGATGGGGCGCTTTCTCTTGCCCTATTCTATCAGCTTGAGCCCAGCAAATGCTCTGACTTAAGCTCTGTCTAGGGGCTGTTTTTTCAGGGATGTATATAAAAAAATGTACCATCAGAAGCAAACTGAGTTTTTCTTTAATGCAAGACTGACTCCTGCTTGGGGAAAGATGCCTTCCATGACTTACAGAGAAACAGTTGGTTCAACCGGTATGATGGGTTCTCTCTGCATAACTCCCAAGTCCCTCTGTGTTTGTTGCTTCCATAGTTGCAGAGATACAAATAGAGGCCAGTCTTTACAGAAAAAGGAAGTCAGAGCTGTTTGGGAAGGAAAACTGAGAGGTGGTGGAGACGGGTGTCCCTCTCCGTCATTGCCGGATCCTTCAGCAAGTGTGGGGTTGGTTAGGGACACCCACAAAGCAGACAGTGGTGGCTGGAGAGGTGCTCTCCCTTCACAGCTGTGGAGCTCTCAGAACGTGTCCCTAATGTCTGACACTAACGTCGCAGGAAATGTCTTCTTGGGCACATCAGACAAATTAGGGGTTGTTTTAAGAGAGGGGACTTCATGCTTTTGCTCTGTATCAGCCTTCCGAGATGCACGGGGATCCAGGGAATTGGTGGCATTGGCAGTTACAGCAGCAGGTCCATCATGGGGGCTCTTAGAGAATCTAAATAATTTTTTCATCCTCTCCAGCATCTTGGTGATCTGTATTCCCTTGCAACCTTTTGGAGATGACATTTGGCGCTCTTGACGGGTCCAATAGCAATAATAGCTGGAATAGAGAGACAAAAACCCCTAGTAAAAACCAGGAACAGAGTGCTGGGAAGCAGCACCAGAGGTCAGAAGCTACCCAGCCCCAGCTGTCACGGCCAACGTTCCCAGGATCATAGTCCCATATGGCTACACAGACTATTGCCAAGGGTTATCCCCCACCGATGTGCTGCACCCCTGCTCTGGCACGACCCCTCCTGCCAGTGTCAGTGTTGGGCTCAGGGTCTCCTTTTGCAAGGAGTGTGGTTCCTTATGCAGAACTGGGGACCCAGTACCAACAAACTGCCCTGGAAGTCCCCCATTCAAGGGAGAAGAAGTCCAAGCCTTCCTAGACTCACAGGATGAGAAGGATGATGATGATGACTAGTAGTGGTATCGCAATGCTGAGAGTCAGGACTGGGATCCTGCTCACAGTGGAGGCATCTGAGGAGAGAGAAATGAATGGGGAGTTTCTTAGAAGAGTTCACTGCTACAAGCCCTTGTGCTGATGTTCTCCAGCCCTAGAGCTAGACAGGGGTGGTAGGTCCAGGGCCTGCATTACACCTGGCAATGAGGGTGTGAGGGCTCAAGGCACTAAAGGACACTAACATTGAGAGAGTGATCAGATTCCTCAGCACTGGCCTGAGGTTGCAAGACCAGGGTTTGTCCTGTAGAGAACAGAGGAAGCTGTGATCTCTTCAAGGACAGTGATGAGAGAGTGTCCTCAAGGGCTGTAGAAGTTGCCATAGCCAGCATATGCATATGATGTTTTTGGGGAAGCTCTTCCAGGGTCCTACTTAGCATTCACACTCAGGCCAGAGCCCCTCAATGCCACAGCAGATGATCTGCATACCCCGTTTATCCTCTCCTTCCACACAGTCCTCCATGGAGCTGGTGCCTGCGGTCCTGGTGACCAGACCTTCCTTGCATGAAGTGCACCATGCCATGCCGTACATCAGGCTGTAGGTTCCAACAGGGCATGGGGAGCATTGGTTGTCCTTAGGAGGGCTGAACGTTCCTGGTGGACATACAACTGAGGAGAAGACACATAGAAAAGCCATTCTGAGCAAGAGCACTGGCTTCTTAAAAAGAGCCTATTCAATCAAGAGTCAGGAAAATGGAGCCCTGACACTCAGGGCTCAGAATTACCCATGCACCATGTTGTCTAAGCTGGGCATGCATGGGGAGGGCAGCAAGGACTGCTGAAGGGACCCCAAAACAGGGCCGGGCAGGTAAGAGGAAGAGACAAGCAGGGAGGAAAAGCAGAGGGGGGCAAAATGCCTGTATGTTCCTGGCTCACTGCAGCAGTCGAGGCATCTTTGCATCTGCTTGGTCTGTCCGTAGCCCCCATTGCAGTGCTGGGTCTCCAGGAAGCCGACAAAATTGTTGGTAAAAATGACGTGGGGGATATCAGCTCCGGAGACGTGGAAGAACTTGTGCTCTTTAAAGAACTCGTTCATGACAAGCTGGACCTGGGCAGGGTAGAACAGGCGAAGGTGCACAGATGTCTGCTGTGCAATGCTAGGACCCTGGAGAGGAGTTAAGACCACAGGGAGACTGAACAAGTAAATTGTCCTTTTCCTCATGCCAGTACTGCTGAGGATGCCCAGGCTGCCCGGCTGTGAGTACAGTGCTCCCTGCCATGTGCAGATGCCCACATGGACACAGATATCCTGTGCCCTGTTCCCTCCTTTGGGAGCTTGCTGCCCCCAGGGCTCACCTGCCAGATGTTCTGCTGGATTACTCTGTGGTAGCAGTTTGCAACCTTCTCCTGGTCCTGGGAGACACAGCGCTCATCCCAGTGGGGCCCAAAGAAGGACACTGGAGAATGGAGATTGATGAGCCTTTTGATGCCCCTAACTTCCATGAGCCCCTAATTTTCACCATTGCTGCTTCAGCCCTATCCTATTGCCCTTCTCCCTCTCAGAGCACAAGCTCAATGCCCAAATGGTTCTCACTGCTCCTCCTGCCTCCATCATTCCTCTTCCATGGTGCTACTGCCTGTAGCTCTACCTTGTAGCTGGACTTCAACAAAAACCTTGTGCAAAGGCTCATTCAGTGTGGGGAAGCAGGAGAATCCCATGAGCTGGAATTTGCAGTGCTGCTTGGCTGCCACCTGGTTCAGGCTGTCTTGCAAAATCCACAGGAACTTCTTGGTCCACTTTTCCTCGCAGCGCTTGCTCTGGAAGAGCAACACGGTCTCCAGGCCTCCAAGTACGTGGTAGCCTGTGGAACAAAATCCTAAGAGGTATCTGGTTCTTCCCCTTCAGCAAGAGTAGCAGAGAATTCCCCCATCCAGAGAGCAGAACATGGCCCTGCTGCCCCCCTCGTGCCTTGACCTATCCATCCTCTCAGTCCCCACTGGATTTGCCCTCCTGATTGTTCACACAGAGTCGGACTCACCAAGCACACTGTAGTGAAACGTTTGGGACTTGGAGAGCCCGCGTTCCATGTAGGAGATGGTGCAGGAGTAGTTTCCACTTTCACCTGCTTGGAACTCTTTGAAGAGGAGATGTCCTTGTTCACTGACTTTGAGATTCCCGTGGTCTGGAGCAGGAAGCAGAAGGGTTAAGGATGAACTCCAGGAACTGGCTGCCCTGTGCTGAGCTAGCCCAGACCCTATCTGCTCAGTGCTCTACAAAGACTCCCAGAGCTGATCTTCCTTCTCTGAAAAGTCATTAAAGGGTAGGGGGAAAAAAAAAAAAAAAAAAAATCTCTGCCCTGCCCCCCTCTGCCAGAGATTTTCCCGTCTGCCAAAAGGACCATTCAAAAACTTGGAAACTTTCTTAATAAAACTTCTCAGCCCTTGTCAGATCAGAAAATCGGGTAAATATTATCCCATGCAGTATTGCTCCCTTACCCCATCTCCCGTTTGGGGTTCAACACACCCCAACACACATAATCTTTCCAAACCCCAGACCCTGTGTACTCCTCACCCAGCCCCACAGCAAGGGCTGTCTGCTGACAGACCTGCACCTTCCTTGGATGATTCCAAGGAGCTGGCCCCTTACCTTCCTTGTCGTGGACCCAGTGGTAGGTGGGATTGGGCACCTCCATCCCTGTGGGGCTGCATGGCAGTGAAAACAAGCTGCTCTCCGCGTGGATGAAGATATGGCCTAAGCCAGAGAGAGACAAGAGGTGGGCACAGTTCAAAAACTTTGAAAAATAGGCCTGGAACTGAGGAGAGGGAAAGGTTAGGGAGAGAGTGGGGCAGGCTGGGATCCTATGTGGAGTCTGACTGGGCTCAGGACCAACCTGTATATGGGTTTGGAGGAAAGAATAGAGAAAAAGCCAGGAGCTGTAGGAGCAGGCAGCAAACACTGATGCCATGGTAAGGGGAGATGGTGGAGACCACAGAGTGCCAGACTAGACCATCGCGCTTGTGCGGACTGTGACCGGATTGGGAAGCTGGGTCCTCCGTGCGATCTGTTGGGTTATGGGCAGTGCTCCCTCCAGCAAGCCCTAGACGCTGGCTGAATGGGGAAACTCCCTAGTTCAGGAGCTAGGATAGCACAGGCCAGCCCTGCAAGGGAGACTTGCGCATCTTTTCTCACCCCCTTGGTGTTCCCAGCTGGATCCGTTTGGCTCCTGTAAGTCTCTTGCTAGTATTTCCTCTGTTCTACTCCATGGGAAGCTGTCTCCAGAAGGATGACCTGGCTGTCCTAGGAAGGAAGCAGAGTGGCACCTTTCAGATTCAGTGTCAGCAATATGGGGACAACCTGCTCTAGACAAAATAGCCAACACAGGAGGTCTTCAAAGACTAAGCTGGGGGGTGACACAATAAGGGACTTGTTCTGCCCCGTTGAGGGAGCAGCGTGAGCTGATGAGGGCCTGCCTGGCAGCAATGTTTTGTCTGACCTGTTCTCTGCCTGAGGAGATTGAAGAGCCAAGCCAGGCCATGTTTCCCACCTCTCTTGACTCCACACGGTGTGTGGAGTGGCTCATGTCACCGATGCTCCAGCAGCCCAGAGGGTGCTCAGAAAGGCCTTCTATTGACCCTCCAAACAGAATATGTTGACCTCCATGCTGGTCTTTTACCTGAGCAGCTGCAAAACACAAAGGTCAGGATGGCCAGGGTCTCCAACACCCCAGGTCCCCTGAAGTCCAACCAGATGCATGGAGCACAGAGCATCTTGTTTCCTCTGGTGTGCTGTGGAGCTCTGGGTTGCCACGGCAATGAGGAATGTCTTTGGCTTCCACCTCTTACCACCTTTGTGATGGTCTACAGGCCCTCCAGCCTTGCATCTGCTGGCCTTGATCAACTTTGCTCAGCCTGATCCACATGGGAAACATGGTCCTTCACCTGGGGTCATCACTGGGTAGGACATAACACAGTTAAGAGACATTGTAGTAAAAGGGAAGTGAGTTTGCAGGGACTTGATCAAGAGAGGTCAGGGAGGAGACTTTTTGCAAGACTTTTTGGTGGAGACCCTGCAGTAGCAAGAGGCAGAAAAATCCCCGAGGGCTTAGACTGAGAGGAAGCTCACAACATAGCTCAGGAGCAGGAGCTCTTGAGCACACCACCTCACTTAGAAGGCAACAGAAATATGAAACACCTGACAATGTAAAGACAGGAATAAGGATAGATAATTATTTAGGGGGGAAATAATGACAGTGGTAGGCAGTCGCCCCTTCCTGTCCTCCCAGAACAGAGAAAGCATGAGGAAAGCTTAGGAAAAAGGCTTAAATATCTCAGGCCCATGGTTGTGGGCAGTAATGGAGGTGGGAGCCATCTCTACTGAGCGCAGCCTCATCATCCTCCCACTGAAAGCCAAAAGAAGAGGCAGGCTGAGCAAGTGTCTCGGGAGGATGTTCCTTTTAAGGCTGTGCCTACAAGGAAGGCTTTGCTGGGATGAATAATGGGATGAATGAATCTTCAGTGTTTCTTTAAAAAGAAGAAGAAAAAAATTCCCCTACGCCCCAGATCTCAAGTCCCTCTGACAGTTTTAGCATAAATAAACAATGTCTGGGCTTGAAACCACTTGGGAGAAAATCTCATAATTTGTGTGAGCAGCAGAACAAATCAAAGAGTTTCCTTTAGATTTACAATATGGGGGCTTTGTGTTCTCTGATGTCTAGTAAAGGTTAGGTCATGACTCAGCTGTATCTTTTCTCTCCAATCACCTCTTCTCACTGAACATAGGGGAGCTTGGTAGTATCTTTGAGCTCCTCTCTATTCTGTCAAACTGGTGTTAAAAAACTACTCTGAGGAGGGCAAGAAGCCAGTGAGGCCCACACCCAGAATGACACCATGTATCTCGTTTCTCAAGACTGAAATACAGGCTAGAGAAACTTGGCTAAAACTTGGCTAAAAGTATATATAATCTGAGACAGGGTGACATTTCTGAAAATTGCTATTTTTTGTGTTCATTTTAATGCCTAATGCACCTAATTAAGAGATTTGTTTATGAGCCCTCAAAGATGTGTGTAGCAGTTAGCAAATGTGTATGGCAGCTGAAGGAGAAGGGGTGCCCTTCTTACATAGCAAAATAATTGGCTCCCTGCTTGAAATGCAAAACTCAGCTTCAAGCATGAAGCTGCGCCTGGGTCATCCATAATAGAATGTCATGAATACAGATTCAGTTTCTCACTGTCTTCTAACATTTGTTATTCATTTGCTTATCTTGGAAAGAACACAACAACTGCTTCAGTGAGTACATGGAAATATCATTCACTGTGCTGTTCTGGCTGGATATTGACCTTTTTCCCTCCCTCCAAAAGGGTGATGCAAGTTACATTTGTATGTGAACTCTATTTATAAATGAGAATTGATATAGGCGAGTTGCAGTAATTTCTGCAGTCCTCAGTGGCCAAGAGTGAGGGATTCTGGATTTGCGGGCATTTTATATCAGGACGGTGACATGTTATTTTTCATTATGTGAATGGCAGCAATAGCCGTTGATGGACAAGCATCAGACCCACCTTCTGTCTGCAGCACCATTCCCCAGACCTGCTCTGTCCCTAGCTGGCAGATCCCACGGGATCTCACCATCTGCATCAGACCTCTAGAACTGGCATTGCTCAACTCATGGGAACTGAATCTCCAAAAGATCAGTTAAATCTAAGGCTGGGGTGCATTTAAATCCAGGTTCATAAGACAGAAGTATCCAAGTTTAACCTCACATGAAGTCTGTACTCCAAAACCAAGACCCTGAAGCTCTACTGCTGCATGGGCACACGTGGGGGTTATAGTTCTGAGTCAAGGAACCTAGCACCCACTACACACCCCATGAAGGCTGGTGGGATTCAGAAAGCTGAGGAAAAACACCCATGATTTTTTAGGTTGTCTCCCCCCTTCTTCTTCTCTCTCTCTTTTTTTTTTTTTTTTTTTTTTTTAAAAAAAAAAGGACCTTTGCCCTGTGTGAAGCTGTGTTGTTGACAGGTACCATCTACAACATTTAACAAAAGGGTGTCCAGGTCTCATAGGGATCCTCTTGCCCCAGGGACATCCAGAGAATTTAACTGCAGGACTAGGATATGAATCATGATCCCTCTTCATTGTGCAGCACAAAAACTTGCCTTTCAGTAGCTCTTGAGGGCCTACAGAAGCCAGAACTGGATCTCTAGAGATCATGAAGCATCCCAGAATGGCTGCTGGGTTTCTATTGTCCAGGCTGCATCAGACTATAGGTTCCTTTTAGGCCTGATTCAAGGAAAAAATAAAATAAACAAACCACTTATTCACCTTCTACAGCACCTTGCACATGGGGCTCCCCATCTGAGACCAAGACACATAGCAGCAATGGCAATCCATCTACTTTCTGCTTCATAAGTGCTTTGTGCTTGAGAAAGTGATCCAGATTACTGCAGGCACTCCAAAGGATGAGGTAGCACTGCTGAAGACAGGTTCGCTCAAATTCCCTGTGAAACCCAGAGCCCAAGGACAGGCAGCAGCACGGAGCTTCCCTAGGGAAGCACAGCTCAGCAACCGTGCTGAACAGCTCATGTCAGAGAAAGGGACTCCACACTTCAGATCCTATCTGGAGTCAGCTGAATATGGCTCATTAGGAAGGAATTGTGCCTGGTTTTTCTTCCTGTGATAAATAATGTCTGCATTGACAAATATTCAACATGGGCATCCAAGGAACAAAGCTGGTGCTTATCTCCTGTCTTGTTTATCCTTTGAGGGGTCAAGGGTTGTTAATAAAGGCAGGAGCAGTATTGATAACACCTCAGATTAACCCTAAACATGTCAGGCAGTTTTCAGTGACTTGCAGAAGGATTTTCAGCACTTTGCAGGTCAGAATCCAGCTCTCTTATGGGGACTTTTAGGTAGATGTGAGAAATGTGGTGGGAGGGATGGCACAAGTTTAGGATCACGAGTCAATGAGCCAAGACTCACACACTCAGAGACATTTGTTCATTTACTGGGGAGTTGCACAAGGGCAGGTGCTCAGTGGTTTCCCACAAATGGAGCACATACTCACAACTTTCCAAACCTCATTTACACACTCTGCAACTTCACAGAGGCAATTTCACAATGCCTCTTGCATTGATTGGTTAGGAATTTACATAGAATTATAATATTGCTCACTCAACATTTCCACAGTTACACATATTCAGGGGAAGGGTCTTCACCTGGGCAAGAGTCTGTTCAACCTATGGGCGTGATTTTTAAGTATTATAATGAAGACAGTTCACTTCAGCAGACATGGACCTTGGGTTTTCCTGCCAACTTCACAACATGTATAAACCATTATGGTTTTAATGAGGAGTTCCAGGTTGTCCCTGGTTAAGGAACAGTCACCACCTGCTCTGTCTTATCTGCTGATAAGTAGCCTCCCGCCCCACCAAGATACAGAGAATGTCTACTCTACTTAAATAAGATGAATCATGTTAGTGCTGCCATACCTGGACAAGTATTGCATCTTCTTCTGTGAAGGAAAATGATGCCTCGCTAGCAAGGGACAGAGGGCAAGGAGGAGGAGGGAGAGAAGGAGAAATAGCAGGAGGAGGACAGCAGAGGGTAGCACATACCTGAATTCCTTCCTTGACTTGCAGAACAGTGCTGGTTTATACCACGTTAGAACAGTTTCACAGTGCACATTGGGCATATTTTGTTGAAAGGTTAGGGTCACAGAGAAGGGTGAGCTTCTTAGAGGTGGAGATCACTCATGCCGTTGTCCAGTTGTCTTCCAAGCTTACCACAAGTCCCCCTGGTTCAGAAGGATAGCAGG